TTATTATTATTATTATTATTATTATTATTATAATTATAATTATTATTATTATTATTATTACTATTATTATTATTATTATTAAAGTAATAATAATAATAATAATTACCTACAGCGTATTGATCTCGTGGCAACATCAAAGGAAGCAAACATTAACTGCGCACTCAGCTACTAGAGGTTTTCGCAAGCCGACGTGCAGATCGTAAGCGCATCTCACACTCCAACCGGTGGTTGAACATCTTCCACAAAATACTCAATGGAGATTGGACGAGCAGTCGATCGCATCCCGCCGAATGGCCAACGTGTGGAGTCACCTTTAAGGCTTTCCACCCTCTTGATAGTTGGCCAGAAGCGAGCGACAGCTCGTCGAATCCCATGTATGGATTGTTTGCTGTAAGCTGAACGACGAACATTTGGTGCTTGCCCTGCCCCCGGCCTTCGGGGCACATCGGAGGAAGCGAACCTTTGCCGAGCGGCGAACGCGTGGCGCCGGCTGCAAAGGAGGAGGCGAAAGGCGGGCACGCACTCACCCGTCGATGAGCGGCACTTCCTTGAGGATGCGGCGCACGGCCTCCAGGCGCTCCTGGTGCGTCTTGGGGCCCGAAGCGCTGAGGGCGAGGGGCACGCCCAGCCCCACGCCCAGCGCCGAGAAGAGCAGGCACACGCCCAGCCCCACGCACCAGGGCTTCAGGCGCACGTCCATCCCGCCTGCGGGCACACGCCAATGCATTCCTTCACTTACGACAGTACAACCCCGGTGATCCGAACTAGGGGCGGGTGTTTGGATTCGGAAATGTTCGGATTACTCGAAAAAGTATATCGTACATTTACGAATACACTAGAGGATTATCAGAAAATGCAACGGGGCATGCGATGTGAGAAAATGGCAACGAAGCCAAGAAATCACATCGCATCATCAAGCAGACTCAGCTCCTTACCACAAAAGATTACCGATTTTGCAAGTTTCTCTAAATGAAAATTACTGATACATAAACACGTGATAATTAATTGTTCACGTGTATAGTAATTATAAAATCGTTTCTTCACACTACAAACAAGCAATTTATTTATTTGCTCTCCATTCGTAATTTTGTTCGGATTATCCGAAATTTCCGATTTGCCTGGTTCGAATTAGCGAGGTTATATTGTATACATAAACAACATCGAAGTTTCTGCCACAATTTATACCTATCGGAAGATAATTTGGTGTAAATTTTCAATATTTTAAATTTTTGTCTGACATTTCTAAAGTAGACATACAGGGGGTGCATAAGTAGGTAGGAAAAACGTATACACTACTTTTATTTTCTATAATAATAATATCTTCTGTATAACTAATTATGCACGCCCCATATTACTAAGGGGTCTTTGTGTTATCTCGTAAAATATATCCAACACATTTGAGCTAAAAAATGCTGTATTGAATACAATATGATTTAATTGCAGATGCAGCGTTCTTTTTTTGGTAAACTTGTGTACTATAGACAAACCTAGAGTCTTCTGTCGTCATATTATCCTCCGTTGGAATCATTTATTTTTTTGACAGATGAAGGTCTCGATGAGACAAAATTATTAGCCACATTCAAATATTTTTGAGTTGCAGCTCATTTAAGTCACGAAATAATCAATCTTTTAAGTTTGGCATCTAAATGAAAATGACTGAAGGGGAATAGACAACCATTCAAATATTATCCTTCCTTATGGCTAAAAAGTGGAAACCTATATTATTGAATGGAGGTGGAGTAGCTTAGAGAAAATCCTGGGGGTCAATTTCAAACACTCAAAATTTGCGTCCTATCCACTATGTGCCACCGATTCTTTCCAATACCAAATCCTTCGCAAATGGATAAATGGAACAAGTGTGGAATGCTCTGTGTAATGAGTGGTAATTCAATTGTGAAAATGAAGATAGTTGGATTAACGTAGCTTAGCAGAACCATCGCCTACATGATACGGCCAGATTGGTTCCCGTTGCCCTCGCATTTCCAAGTCGACGTCGGGGCTTCCATCGGCGGTCGGCCATTAACCCCTTAACTGGTACGGACCAGCCGACTGAGACGCGCGTCGTGCCTCAAGCTTCTCGCTGTGGCCCCTCGTGAGCTGAGCTCGCTCGCACATAGATACGCGCACGACTTCTCGGTTATCAGTCAGTCCTAGCGATAGCCGAAAGCGCGTCTGCACGAGCGAACTCGCCCAGAGGCTCCAGGGGCATCGTGGCTTCGCGTACGATCTCGTCCACAGGCTCCGAGCGACAACCTGACAGGGCAATATCTCGACCAGAGGCTACCACAGACGGAGATATTTTGCGTATCAACTCGTCTAGAGCAGTCAAAGGATTAAGAGCAAACATCCGGAAGTTCACCTAACCTAAAATTTACCCCAAAATACAGATTCGCTTTATCTCGACTGACATTCCTCTCCTAACTATTGCTGAAGTAGTATATCTACATTAAATATGTGCAGTCCACACGTGTTCCATTTATCCATATGCTTCAGCTGTTTGTGAAACAAATTCTCGCGTACGGGATTCGTACCCACTGAACTCTTCTAATCCTATTATTACCACGGATCCCTAGTCATGACAGAATCCTGACCATGACCACCCCTCAGTGAAAATACTCCACACAAGTGCACAGTGGCAAAATTACAAAATTACTCTTGTACCCTAAATTGTAAGTGGTAACGTACTAATGAAATATGAACCAAACATTTTGATATTTCAAGCAATATCTGTTGAAATGCTAAATTTTATTTTAAAATTAACAAATATCTGTACATTATTAATATTACTACTGAGGTGAAAATCATCGGTGACATGATGCGAAACTTCTTACGTTCGGCTCCATAAATGTGAGTAGATTTCGTAAGAGATAATAAAGTAATAGAAATGAAAATGGGTCACAATTATTTAACTTTCTTTTAAAACGTATGCTGACGTCTGATTATTTTTACACACTCTGAAATTAATTTTACTTTGTAGAGGTGTAAGCGATACAGTAAGTAGTCTAAGTATTGTATTATTGTATTAGATGTATAAGTGGAAAGAATTTGCCACCGGGCAAATTCTTATTATTATCTAATCAGTTAAAGCAAATTAAATAAATTATCTATTTATCGATACTCTCTTACATCGATTTCAAGAAGCATCTGCGTCTCTGTGGATTGTGCATTTATTCGCGACTAGTGGAATAATGGTCTCGGTTTCTTAGATACAATGAAAAATGTCATTGTTGGCGCTTCTACTAACCAGGTCCTAAAGTCGTATCAATTGATCCATCTATTTTATGAGCGGATTGTGGAAAATGTTTATTTTTGCACCACGTTGTGTTCCCTGTGCTGCGAATTGTCGTGCGTATTCACCGACAGAGATCGACATAAGTCGAAGTCAAATTTATGTGTTACATGCTTTGTTTTCTGGCTGAGTGATTATGAAAATATTTAACTAAATAAAATTCTAAATGTCTCAGCTACAACATAACTATCATACATGATATCTCATTTAGTTTTCCTAAATAGAACGGAGATATTGAACGCGTCATCGATGCTTTTTTTAGAGAACTTCAAATCCAAAAATAAATTGTAGAAGAAAAACGTGGTACCCCCCACATACAGATCAGAGTATCCCAAATTACTGATTCATTAAAAAAAAGAGGAAAAATTATCCTGTAAGCGTATAGAACAATTTCTTTATTTTGGTATGTAGCTCACAAAGAATATCTCTTCACAGTGCGTGTTTTTTTTATATCTTAAGAAAGCATTTGTAATACTTCTCTCAAACGATCGTCGTCAATTCCTAAGCAGATTGGCGCGTTCATTCAAACGACCAGAAACATGGTGTTTAAAACGACAAGTAATTTCGCCAGAGGGAAACACACATCAAGAGCAATTATAAAGGAAGTGCAAAAGAACATTACTTAGAAATCGGTAAATTACGATCTGGTCGTATATACTACAAGATTTTACGCCCGTATATCTGAAACTAGGTATAAGTGCCATTTCATAAATACTGAGAAAAAACGTGTTTATTTTAGGATATATTTCAGTGACAACGTAATTACTTGGTTTTCAACACTTGAATTGAACAATTGAAATTCTGTGGTTTTAATGATGAAACAAAGCAACACGACTTTACAGTAATATTGAATTAAATATTTTTCTGATTTTATAAAATGTAATTTATACTGTTCTGGTTTTCACACATTAATTTGCTTTCACAGATCGCTGCTAAAGAAAGCTAGGGTCGATACCTTTTTTGCTTTGTATTGTGTACCCCTCTTTTGCTTTGTATTGTGTACCAGAGAAAAGAGCATTTGACATTCCTCCCCTTTTCTGCATTTCTACCTGGCGGTTGCAAGATATGAATCTGCATTCTACAGAGAGATTCTTGAAAATCTTAACAATAAAAATATATCTATCATAGTGTGTTATATGTTTCTCTATTATTTTTCTGTCTTGAGAACACTGCTCTCTCAAAACATCGGAAAACTTATACTAACTCTTTCAGGTAAGCAATAAAATGAAATACTCATAAGTAACATTCTAAGATCTACGAATATAATTAATTATACATGTTTTACAGATTTAAACAATTTGCTACCTGTAAAATTATCTATTCTATAATAGTTGTGTGAATTTTACCCTGAAATATAACAAACTGATTCTCTAATTACTCGGTGATTTGTTTGAAAGATTACTACACAAAACATTTTGCTCTGATAATTCTTAAATATAATTTATTTCTGTGATTAATTATTTCCCAACATCCCAGAAAAAAAGAAGCATTTACTATAGGAAACATCTAATTCTTTTGTCTTAGTGCTTTTCAAATTTCGTGCACAAGATCAAGAACGCATTTGGAAATGCATAGTCGAAAATGTCTGTATTTTTGTATTCGCAACTGCGCTTTCATTCCGCGGTTGCGCTGTGTCTCAAGAGAAATTACCTGGCAACTTCAAATGGATACCCCTCTTCGGCTTGGCTGTCGTGGAAGGCGTCCGGGAAGAAAAAGACGAATGGATTAGCTGGGTACAACTTCAATTATATTCAGAACGGACGCACAACATGGAGAGCCCAGATCGTGCATAAAACGAACACCAAAACACAAACATAAAACACACACAAAGATCTTCGTGCTGTTGGCAGTTCTCATTCCGTAAATGTTTTCTTGCATTCTCAACGACATCCAACATTCGGTGGTTATAATGAATTGCGTGAAAATGTATGTTTGTGATGTGTTTCTGAGGCATTCAAGTTATTGACCATGCAAGCAGGCGACATAACCAACTGATTCTGTTTTGAAATAATGGCTTTTATGTAAACATTTTTTTACATAAATGCATTATAAATAGTATATGGTTGCTTGTGGAAACAGTGCTTTACAGAAATTCATTCCAAATCAGAGAACCAGAGATTTGTTTATTTCTCTACAATATATAATTCTTTCAGTAATATTTAATAATGTATATTACTTACTTTGTTCATGCCCGACGAAGCCAAGCATTAAAAGCGCCAAACATAATTTAAAAAATTGACACCTTTCAAAACATTACAAATATCTGACAAAGAAAAAGAGATGTAAAAATCTTCCCCAAAACTTCATTTTTCAAGATCCTTCCAGCGCTGCGTTAATCATCTTTCGTACTCTTTTCGGCTTCCTTTGAAGAGACTTCTTAGAAGGTTTCCACAGATGAGGGCGAATCCGTAAGATCTCTAATGACGGCGGCGCTCTACATAGCCGCGTCTGCAGCTGACAGTTGTCATGTTTGGGGCTCTCTTCACACCCAAATGAAAAGTTCTGTCTTTTCTGTCTTTATGCTAGTCCTCTTTCAAAATCACTCACTGGCAGCAACGCGTTTTAATTTCGACTCTCTGAAAGAAACATTACTTCTATGAACGCCAAATTAACTGAGGATTCTTGACACTCTGAGATCCTAAAAGTCTCGTGGAAAATATGAAATACTTGAATGACGTTAGCGTGAAAGCGAATGCGATAAAAAATAATATAACGCACGACGTGGATTTACAATTCTATATCAACGTTCATACGAATGTCCATTCACGTGCTAATCATTCTGATACAATTGTCTTGATTCCTGTTAACTTTCAATATACGTATTACTGAAATTTCCATATTATTCAGTGGTCTTCACTATCTTTAAAAATAATAGACCCTTACGTCCATCTATATTACGAATAATCATGCGACAATACCGCAGAGAATGTAAAACGTCAAATATTTTCTTTTACAGAAAGCAAACGTTGTCCTCAAATTGAAAAGCATTTCCAAGCACTTACAATACCAGATAATATTTCTTTAATAATTACTTTAGCACAAAAACACTTATTTTAGAAAGTTTGCTTACGATTTTATATCACTATTTTAAATTCTGGCTTCTAGTATTGAAGCCAAATAATAAATAACCGATCGCAGAGGAAAATCATCAAATTTATTCGCAAATGTTTTTTAGTTATTGACAAATTAAATCCTCAAGACGTTCTCTAATGCATTCTGTTCAACAAAGTAAGTGCTCAGTCAAAAATACAAATTTGTAAATTATCTATCTCTATCACGTATTCACAACCGTACTTTCACTTAAAGGTTGCCCTATGTTTCAGAAGAAATAATCTCTTAACTTTAATCTCTCATCTACTTGGCTTAGATGGTTGTTACCCGGAAAGAATACAATACGCCATTCTACCACAAGCGGCAATGAAATACTGATTAGAAAAATAAACCAATAAATCAAGATACGAATGTTGTAAGGCAAGAAGTATACAAATGAAGTCGTAGGCTCCTTTCAGAGTGAGACGGAATTCGATGCAAGATAGCCGACCAAATTCGTGAAGAGCTTTCCTTTGATTGAATGGTTAGTGATTCCGGGCTCGACAACTGATAAGGTCATTCGTCTAGTAAGTGCAGTGCATGTTATTTGCGAGAAGTGGCGGTGATCCCCGATGGATGGTGAAATGTGGCGCCGATCTACCGTCGGATTGTGGGGTTATTCCCCCACCAAATACCTCCTTGTAGCGTGCTACCACCTCAGCCGGGTCAAGCTCTAAGCACCTGATTGGTTTCCCGACGAGAGAGGTAGTGTCCTCCCGGATAGCCTAGAATTCAAGTAAGGTAGTGTCCTGCTGAGTGCACGTGTGTATTATTATGTTGTGAGGAAAGGACTAAGAAGAGGAAGGATCGCGCGCAGTCCGTGGCCCGTTTGTTAAGGTACTGCTCCGGGATTAGCCTTGTGTTGATCGAAGAAACCGCGGAAAACTACCGATCAGGGTAGCCGGCCGCTTGAATTCTCCAGACAGCAACTGAATTAGTCCTAGCTGACAAGCTAGTGTCGAAAACCTACCAACGTGGCGACTCGAATCTACGATGTCCTAGTCAGGGGCACTGCACTGCATCTGTTGACAAGTGTCTTGTTCCCAGAAAACAGCTCATCCTCTACAAAATCCGAACCTCCTTCCCAAATAAGTCAAGTAAACACACTAACTACTGCACTATTTGCTTTCTTTACCTTCCACCCTTCCTCCCCAGCATATTCGTAACCGTTATTTCAATTTGAGATTATCACTATCTCACCTTAAGTGGATATAAAGGAGTGCATGGAGTAAGGAAATGGGCAAATAAATGAACCAAAAAACGAATTAATATTCGGAAGAAACAATAAAAGAAGCAAAGCATGACGGAATAAATACCGAATGGCAGCATATGGTGAACGGTTGCGGAGCAAGGACACAACGCGGAGAACGGGAATTAAGCTTCCCCTGCTAGCACAGGTCGACCCTATCGCCCAGCGAGCCCTAACCACTGCGCCACGCGCTGCCGCGAGCCCGCAACGCAGCA